GTAAGTGTCATCTGGCATATGCAGAGACCCAGCAGCAGAAGGACCAGAACATGACTGAGACGTCTGTTCTCTTGCCATCCCATGGAGTGTCTCATACAGATGCAGATGGGCAATTCTAGAGACCTCACCTATCAGCTACTCTTTCTTTTGATAAGGAAAGCATGAGGGCAGCATTATAGTTGGGGAATAAATCATTTGAGTGTGAGTGCCATGAAGTCAGAGTTTAGGTGCCAAATGCCCCTGTGGGATCATGAAGATGCCAGTTGTGTTGCATTTGGGGATCTTGAGAGAAGTTGAGATTATATACACAGCCTTCTCTTTAGGAAAGGGGAAGTCAATGGTCCCAGGAAGAAAACTGAAAAGAGTCTGTGGGTCACTCAGTAATCTTGCTTATTTCTCCACATTGACATTTATTAATTATGAGGCACTGTACTATTGATTTGAATACATTATTTCATATAATACTCATAACAACCTTATGAGATAGGTATTTGTATTATTCTTGTCATTTTATAGTTCAGCAAACTGAAGCATAGAGTACTTTATTCTTTTTTCCAGAATATAATTCTGTTTGCGAGAATATTGGAATATGGAAAGGCTGAATAAAGGGATAACAGGAGTGAGGAGTTGAGTTCTTGATTTAGAATAGTGACTTTGGAAAAGCAGAGGCATTGATGAAATTTACAAAAATGGCAAAGGTAAATCTAAACACCACAAAGCTATTAGGTGGTGGGAGTACCAAGACTAGAGAGAGGCAAGTGAAGGATTCACCTTGGGTGCAAAATCAAGAGGCCTCCAGGAAACACAGTAAATAATATTTCAATGTAGTATTAAAATTTTCAAAATTAATGCAAAAATCTACGATGAACAAAAATATCAAAATTTTAAATAAAGACAGGATCCTTATTACTTGTTTTTCCTTTTGTCTCTGGATCCAATATGGCTTGGCCAAGCATGGGGGGAGCCTGAACTTGAATGCTATGTCTGAACTCAGAGCCTGAACTCAACCATTATTTGCTCATGTTTCCCAAGATACAAAAGATAAAGAAGAATCAAAAATTACTTGAAAAAGGTAAAATTGCTGGTCAAAAATAGTAGGAAAAACATGAACTTAATTCTTTAGGAGGAAAGCATAGAAAATGACTAATTTAATTTCCCTGGTATAGTTCCATTTAGAGACTTAAGTATGTATGTAGTTTGACTTCAAAAACAGAGGACAAATAACAGTCTTATTTAACTTTAAAGTTTTCTGGCCTCTCTTGTCTTTCTTGACACTTTTTTTTACCAGTACCAAGAATCCAGTTACTGACCACAAGTAGCTTAAAGCAGTTTCCCCTGTATCCAGGGGCATATTTCTCTGTAAGAAATGTAAGGTATGATTAAGAGTGACTTTAACACTGAGAAATAATTCTTATCTCATATAACAGAAGCACTGGAGTTAGGGTGATTCCAAGATTTGATAATTCAGTGCCTCAGCAATGTCATCTAGAATTCACATTTTTTCATTTTGAACCTTTACCTTCCTCAGTGAGTCAGCTACTGTCCTCATGGTTACAAGATGACTGTAGTGACTCCAGGCTTTATGTTTCCACACAACAAAGTTTTTGTTCCCCCTTCTAAGATCAAGAAAACCCCTCCCAGAATCTCCTCATCCAAAATATTACCCTAGAACTAATTATGAATTCATGGTCTTATTTGTTGGATAGTATAATAATATATAATAACATATAACATGTAATATCTAATGAAGACTCTTGCTCTGGAGGCCTAAATATGGGTGCAAAATCTGGCTCGATCACTTACTGGCTATGTAACCTTAGGTATCTTATTTAAATTCTGTGTGCCTCAGGTTTTTTAGATTTAAAAAAGGGATAAAATAATACACCTATTTTACTGGGTTATTGAGAGGAAAAAAAATGAGTTAATATATTTAAAATTCTTAGTGTCTGGTAGGTATTTTTTATGATGATTCTCACTGTTGTGGAAGCATGAGAGGTAAGAAAGAACAAGTATCTGAGTATCTCTTAAAAAGGAAGACATCAATAAAAGTTTCTGTTGCATTTTGTAATATTTTTCCCATTTATATGATTTGGATGTGATGTTTGAAAGAGGAAAGAAGAATTAACTTCAGGACTATATGCTATTTAAATATGTGTGTGTATTTAGGCTTTTGAGTAAGTCATCCACATGGTTGAAAATAAGCTGGTCTCAAGCCAGCAGCATTGACTTCATGAACATAGCCTGAATTGACTATTTGAGAGCCAGGCGATATATATTAGGGACTTCAAAAGTTCATGGAAACACTCATATTATCTTTCAATTCCATTTCTCCATGAACTCACTGAAGTATCCTCGTATGTGTCTGCATAATATATATAGTGCATTTAAGCACAAGGATAATTAAACAGATATCTTTCTTGTTGGATTTTATTGTTAAGTTCCTCAGTTAACACTTAGAAAGAAGGAGAATGGGAAATATTCTCATTCTATTCTGATCGTAAAAATCCCATTTGCAGTATTCTTCCATTAGACATAAAATATAGCAGTGCTAAAAATGCCTTTTATGGTGCCAGTGCAATCCAGTTCCTTACATATGATACTTTTTAAGTTCTCAATTGCAATTATAAAATGCACTTTATTTCCTTCATCTAAGGATTAATCCCCCATTTGGACTACCATTTCTTGCTCACATGAAACTCTCTAGAATGCAGGAAAATAGGGTGCAAAGTGTAAAGGTACAGTATCAGTGAATCATGGATACTGGCTTCTCTGAGACCAGCATTTTATAACTTGGGGTCACTGGATGGTCTGTGTGGTCCATGAACCCCCCAGAATAGAACATAAAATTTAAAAATTTCCCAGAAATCCTCTCTCATATCGTTTTCCCCCTCTCTATGAGATCTTACATAAACCATGGAATATTCTTCCCATTTTAACAATGCAAAAAAAAATCCCAAATCTGCTGTGATTCCAGTCCCTCTTCTAATAATACTCAATCTCTTTCATTTACAGTAAAATATACTCACTTCCTCCAAATTTTTTCCATTGTTTTGAATGCATTCCACTGAAACTGCTTTTTGAAGGAAACCAATGACATCCTCATCATTAAATTTAAAAATCCATTCTCAGTCTTCATCTTATTTGACCTGGCAGCAGCATTTGATAGTCGATCACTCTATCCTTCTCAAAACTATTTCTTTACTTGATATCTAGTGCATACAATCTCTTGGTTCTCTCTCTCTCTCTCTCTCTCTCTCTCTCTCTCTCTCTTTCTATCATCTCTCCTTCTTGATTCTGAGAAGATTCTGCTGGTTTCTCCCCATTTCCCTGACCTGTCTCTCTGTCTTCCAAATGTTGAAGTTTTGCTGCATCCACTCCCTTGGTGATCTCTGTCAGAGTCATGGTTTGAGCACCTTCTACCCTCTGTTGGCCTTCTGAGTTTCTATCTTCGGGTAGAAATTCTCTTTGTACATCATATCGAGCAGTACACATGTCTGCATCTCCATGTAGATGTCTAATAGGCAATTAGAAGATTGAAAAGTCTAAAACACATCTACTTTTCTAACACATCTCCCCAACAATAACCTTGTTTCTATCCAGTCTTCCCTGTATCAGTAAATGGCATTTCCTTCAGTTTGTTATGCCAAAACCTTGAAGTTATTCTAGACTTTCCTCTTTCTCACACATCCAACAGCCACACTGGAAGCATATACTATTAATTCTACCTTTGAAATGCATTCAGAATCTGGCCACATCTCCTCCCACATGCTATTACTGACTGTAAAAATCACCATCCTCTGTCTCCTGGATTACTCATCTCCCAGTTTCCAACCTGGCATCCTTTCAGTCTTCAACACAGCAAAAGAAGTTTCATAAGTCAAATCATTGAATTCCTTTGTTCAAGCTTTCAAATGACTTCTGATCTCAATCATAGTAAAAGTATAATTTTGGAGTACTTAACATTTACATAATATAATACATTGGTAAATTCTCATCTCTTAACTATATCAAAGGGAGAAGAGTCTCTGAAAAGCTAAAACAGTTTTTAAAATTAAGAAAAACATAGCTCTAAGATTTAATTATAGATTGGTGAAAAATCAGTTGCAAATTATGCCATATATCTAGATACATACATCATCTCTTCAATCAGATCTGAAAGGCTACTCTTGCCTCTTCGGAGCAATTTTCATATAATTAGAACAGCATTTTGGAAATCCCTAATCCATCTATTTGTTTGCATTTATTATTTAATCTCTCATTTCACAAACATTTTACTTGCCCTTAACATATAAAAGGGAAAATTTAAAGATTTCAGTTTTTCCTAATTCTATCCATTAGAGTTATTAGAAGTTCAAATACTTTTTTAGTTTCAGGTACTGGGACGTCTAACAAGGATAAATCTAATCAAATCTAGCTTATCTAGCTTGAACTTGATATGATCACTACCTTGACAATTCAAGATTTTTTTCCTGATGTATGACAAGTGATAATAAATGGACTAATCGGTCTTAATTTAGCCACCACTAAAGCCAACTTTGAGACTTTATTTTTAAAAATTTTTACAGGGCCATCTTCTTTATGATGCTGCCAAATATAATATTGGCTAACAATGATTTCTTCCATTCCTGAACATCCATAACTCAGGGTTTATTTGCAATTTGGGTAATGTAAATACACAATATTTTAATTCATTCCCAATTTTTCCCTATGCTGAACTCTTATTTAGATTATAAACTTCTCAAGGGCAATTTTTTCTTGGTAACTCCATAATACTTGGTACCAGAGGTATCCAATAATATTACTTTTAATTGAATACACATGCATACCATGGCAAGATATAGTATCTATTTCTGAGCAAAAAGACAATTTTGGACAAGCAGTATTTAATTCTTGAAATTGACATATTCATTGTTTCAAAAGAACAAATCAGGAAAAGCAGATTTTCTTAGGTTCTTCGGAAATGATTGCAAAATTTTTCTTTTGTTTTCAATTACTTGTAGCAAGTTCTATTGCTAAGATGGGCTCAGATCCTCTAAAACTCGTACATGATGCTGTGGAGGAAACTACAGACTGGATCTATGGCTTCTTTTCTTTGTTGTCTGACATCATCTCATCTGAAGGTGATGAAGAAGATGATGGGGATGAAGATACTGATAAAGGTATGAAGAATATAGAGACTTATCTCACTGCTAGGACCAATATTAGAAATGTATTGCAGCGGCTCATTAGGTTTAAGCTCAAATGAGCACTCGGGTCAGGCAAAACCAAAATGAATGCACTTCTGAGAGCTAAGAGCATATCAACAGGCTGCCAAATGGAGTAAATTGGTCTCTATTTGGTTTTCATCTTATAGCTTCTTTGCCATTATGGCAAAAATGTCAAAATTAAATGCTACTATTAAAGTAGCATTATAGTAGAGTCTTATTATGCACTACTATAAGCCCACAATAGAAACTCACATTTATATGCTTCTTTGGGGGGAAAAAAATAGTAGCTATTTCTGAAGTTTATCTCTAGGAAGAGTAAAATAAAAACTGTGAACTAAAAGTACATGTAAATATCTTATACACATACGTCATATTCATAGTCAAATAACAGAAAGCAATCTTACTAAAAGCACAATGAAAAGAGTCAATTTATTGAACCAAATGGAGTTGTAGAATGGAGGGACATATTCTAAAGGCCACAACAATTATGAAAATAAACTATGTACTTTCTTATATATATTAATGAGTAAAAGGAAATAACAAACTCAAATCACACATAAACTGCCATTGAATGGGTATGAAAAGAACAAAGCATTGTCATTATGTCTTTTAGATGACTTTTTTAGGGTCAGTCTTAGTCAACAGAAATCATATATTCAGACTTGAATACCAAGAAAGCTCTTATTAGAGTCCGTTCTTCAACTTAGTCTGAATTTATATTTGTTTTGGCCCCAGTGAAAGGTCAAGATGAACAATAGATAACTTAAATTAACATGATATATAACCTATAATGTATAATTTGGATCACTGCCACAATTTTAGTGAACTCATAAAAATGAAACTACTTCAACATTAATGTACATAAACAAAGTTTATGCTTAAAAAGTGAAATTTGGGGGGCCGGCCCGGTGGCACACTGCTACAGTGCGCCGCTTGGGAGCGTGGCGGTGCTCCCGCCGAGGGTTCGGATCCCACATACAGACCGGCAGCTCACTGGCTGAGAGAGGTGTGGGCGCAATACCGAGGGTTGCGATCCCGTTGCCGGTCCTGGTCCGGTACAGGTGAGACACTGAGGGTTGCGATCCATTGCCAGTCACGAAAAAAGACAAAAAGGAGAAAAAAAAAGTGAAATTTGGGATGCAAAGTAGTATAAGGACTATGACTGTCAAAACTAATAGGTTTTCAAAAAATAAACAAAAGAAAATGGGAAAATGGGAAGCCATATTAAAATATGCTAAATGTTTTTCTAATTTATTGTTTTTGTCTTGATTTAGGAGAAATAGAGGAGCCTCCCTTGGAAAAAAAAGGTTGGTTGTTTTCACCTTTGAAAAAAATTCTTATTCTTTTATGGTAATGTCCATTTGTAGTGTGACTCAAATATATTTCACTTGTGTTGCAGCATTAACTTATTTTTAATATAGAATTTTAAATTAATGATTAGATCAAGATTTATAATTAAGAAAAACAATACTCAATTCCTTCCAATGAAGCAGATCTCACTATTTTTTCATTTAATAGATGCCTTCTTCGGTAGATTTGTGCAAATCTATCTATACACAGACCAATGTGGGTTGGGATTCAGGTATGAGGAAGAATTCTGTAGCCTTGGAATTAGTTCAGAAGATGATGATGCCCATGGTCTTTATTATCATATGGCCAAATTTATTGATTTTGAAGTTTTCTTCTTATTCTTTTTCTTCTTATTTTACTGTCAGTATTATTTTCCATTTTAGGTGATGACTGTGGGACAGGATAGCTGAGCTAGTGTGGAGTATAATGGTCATGGAAACAAAGGTATATCCAGTCAGTATGTATCAGGTGTGATTCCCAAGGAGTGGAATCAACTGGGTGTGCTTGGTTGTGGTGCAGAGGGATTCCTAGCAGGAGCAGTGTATTAATCAGGGTTCTGCAGAGAAGCAGAATCAATAGGATATGTTATAAATATATGAGAGGGGACTTATTAAGGGAATTAGCTTACGTGATTATGAAGAGAAGTCCCACGATAGGCTGTCTGCAAACTGGATGCTGGTAGCATGGCTCAGTCCAAGTCCGAAGGCCTGAGGACCAGGGAAACTGATGGTGTTCTTGGTGTAAGTCCTGGATGTGGGTAGGGTGGCTCAGTCCAAGTCTGAAGGCCTCAGAACGAGGGAAGCTGATGGTGCTATTGGTGCAAGTGCTGGAATTCAAAGGCTGAAGTGTCTCGATCTCTGATGTCCACAAACAGGAGAGAAGAGTGCATCCCAGCTCCAGTGGATAGAGAGGGAGATTCATCATTTTCTTCCATGTTTTGTTCTCTCTGGGACCCCAGCAAATTGGATGGCTCCTGCCCATACTGAGGTTGGATCTTTCCCACCTAGTCCATTCAGGCTGTTACGCTAGTTTCTTCTGGAAACACCCTCATGGGTACACCAAAATGATAGCCAGGTTTCTTGGTATTGCTTAATCTAATCAAGCTGACACCTAGAATTAACCCTCACAAATACCTAAGGTCTTCAGTGACTGAGCAGGGTGGTCACAATCCAAAAGAAGGGAGCAATAAGCCAAGGAAAAAGAGGTACAGCTATGGAGCCAGAGTCTCAGAGGGGAAGGGATTTTTACAGGAAGGAGTGGGAACTATGTCTTAAAGAGGCAATGGGGAGCAGGGACTTTTTAGAGCTGATCTCCCAAGGACAGTGACTAGAACATAGTCAGATTTTAAGCTAATGAGCAACTCATCATTATCTGGAAATAATAGCCTTTGTACATGTTTATTTCAATTGGAAATAAAGGGGAAAAAACAGATAAATGTCTTCTCGCTTATAAATTGAATTCCACAAGAATATAATAAGGTCATATTCTCCATAAATATATGTGTTATTTAATAAACAACCTCTTTCTTATTGATTTGAATTCTTACTTGGAATTATTTTAAAATTAACTTTTATGTAATGATTAGTGTAAGTTGAAAAACCACACAAAGCTGTTTAATTATTGTTTCTTAAATTACTGCCTTGGTTTATCATATCAACAAAAAAATCTGTTAAGTAGTTGTTTAGGATACTTTTTAATGTCAGTAATGCTCATTAGTCAAAACAATCTAAGGCATATATGTGCTTAAACATCATGTACACTAATTTCTAGACAAAGTACATATTCAACACTAGGAGGACAAATGACTTAAAATCACCTGAATATATTTTCTTAATAATATTATTCACAAAGTTCCATAAGAAAATGAACATTTATGGAAACATCTTATATGCTCTACCTTGGATACAGAAGCTATATAACATTAGTTGAAATTGGACTAAAGGAGATATATTTCATTAAAATTACTTATTTTTTATGTATAAGCTTTTTGTGCATTCATATAGGCAATAAGAGTTTGGAAGCAGTATGTGATATTTAAGCATTTTAAATACATATTCTGCACTTGAAAGTATACTTTTAACATTATTATTAGGGAAGAGATTCTAAGAGCATACTCATATCTCATCATGGGTTATTTTATGCATTTTTATATTTAAAAAGTTTGGTTTAAGAAATAAGTTTTTTGGTAATCTAGAATGATAAAGTCTCTTAAAACATTTGATTTTAATCCATCTAAATGATTATTCATTAATACCCCTTCCAAATCATATTTATTCAATCATATTTAATCATTTTATACTACCTAAATCATCAGACTGTGTCATTTTTTGTTCAACTTCCCTGTGTCTAAGACATTTTATTTAAATGCACTTAAAGCATTAGTTTTATTTGTCCAGTTATTGTTATCTTACCAAAACAGAAACTCAGACAGCTTGTTATTTATGGGTGAAGTTTGCATTTCTAATTTGATGTGGAATAATGGTCCAGTCGACTAATCTCAGGTTGCAGGATTGATTATTAAACAGATTATTAATATGGATGAAATTTTTGAATCTGCTATTCTATGGTGTATGTTGTTATATATAAATATAGCTTTAGGGTATTACATGTAATAGTACCAAGTGTCTTTATATTCTATTTGAATTTTATTTTTCAACTTGTCAAAATTTTAAAATATTAAATTCTATTACCAAACACTCCGTGATGAGGGTCCAAGGCACTAAACCATTAGAAAATATATTTTTATTTAATTATCTAAAAATTTTAACTATGAAAACCAAATACCATTGTAAATCACATTTCCTGGAATAATTATGTGCTTTGTATGGTTGGGTGTACTTTGCTTATCTGGAACTGTCCTGTTGAGCAGTATTCTTAGCACCAAGGTACACCACATGGATACACCTCTTTCTAAGGGGTACAAAAGTGCAGATAGCTTTAAACAAATCAAATGCCATTTGTATGCTTTCCTAAAATTGATCTGCCTGAGAACGTTCCCAAGTTTATAGCAGTGCAATTTCCACTTTGCAATCTAAAGGAATATCTTCACATATCCCCAAATTGCTAGAATGTGACCCAAAAGGACACTTAACTAGTGGGTCTTCCAGCCCTGTCTAATGCATACATCTGCTAAGTGAGAAGCATGGTGTTGATACACAGGGGTTCTGTGTCATGGTAGGATGTTCTGAAGTCAGATACGTGATAGAGTGAAGTTATGGGAACAATGACAAGTTTCATTTCAAAATTTTGCTTTTTATTTAGCTGAATAATGTGAAAGAGTGCATTGCTCTTGAGGGACAGTCTCATGAGAGCAAACATCAGTAGGAAATACTGAAAGCTAAAAATTGCTTTCACAAATTTTAACGTTAAGCAATTCTTTAGAGTTATTCTCAATACTTCTTTCTAGGAAGTGCCTTAGCTGATAAGAAAAATGCTTTGAAAAAACCAAAGCAGTGTAGATTAGTGGCACTGATTCTTTTAAATATAACTGGAATATATTCTGGGACAACCAAACTTTTAAAGATGCATTGAATAAATCATCAGACACCATGTTTCTGTGTTTCTGTGAAGGTTAATTCTCTATTGTTCAAAAAGGAAGTTAAAACCTACCTTATGAAATTATATTGTGAAATATTTAATCTAATCATAGTCAAACTTCATCCTATTTCATCTAATATAAAATCCTTGTATTTTTCACCTCTTATTGAAAAAAAATTAAATTATATGCTATTTGTGGAACCAATTAACTATATATGTATATATGTGAATGTATGTATGTCTATGTATATATACATAATATATTATGTATTATGTATACATTATATATATGTATTTTCACCTCCTATTAAAAATAAAACAATATACTGATTCGTATTATGTTTTAATTCTATTTTCCATGAACTTTTTGAAGTACCTTCGTATATATGTATATTTACCATGTATTTTTTGCATGATACATTATAAAATTTTTGATGATAGCTAACAAAATTATTTCTTTTATGTTTGAAACTTATTTAATTATTCCCAGAAGTAAAACATCAGAGTTTGATATCTCCCTCACACATATATTGCAACATTATAAAACTTTTTTTTTACCATACTTCTAGCTTCATGAACAACTTAAAATTTGTCTCTATATAACATGATGTTAGTACAAATAAAATAAAATGCAATAAAATGGTGGTTTGTCTCATTTTATCACTTATTATTAAAATAAATTTATTATTTTAAGTTCACATTATTTTAACTACTTTTAATAACATATATTCCAGATGTGCTGCAAACTTTATTGCTTAATAGTAATTATCTCAAAATTCAAATTAAAACTGTTTTTTAAATTAAAAAGTGTAATTATATATTTGTTTGACAGATAGCAAGTTTGATTTGGGTAAGAGTTTTTAAAATAAAGGGTAGCTTTGCTCATTAGCTAACATAGCAAATGTTTTCCATAAATTAAATGAGTAGCAGCTCCAAGGTTTAGATAATAATATTTAAAACAAGAAATATATTTAAAAGTACATAATACAATACCATTTTACCCAAAATTATTATAGTTCACAATATTTTTATTTTTCAACTTTTTGAGTATAATGTTTACACAAGGTACTACCTGAGAGTAGTAGATTTATCTAATAATCATTTGGAAAATCTAATAAAGCTGCTTTACTTCCCAGAAATTTAGAAAGTGAATGACTCTGAGGACAGAGTAACAAATTTTTGCAAATAATGTTTTTCAAATCTTTGTTTTCAATAAAATTGAAGATGGCATTAATCAGTTACTCAAAAGAGAGATCATTGAAAATAAATTTCTTGTTTATTCCATATGCCATTTTGACCTTACTTCGGAGACCAAAAAATTAAATAACATTACCATAATAAGATTGGCATTTCTGTGCGAGTGCGTGTGTGGGCCTGTGTGCGTGTGTATGTGTATATGAGGGTACTTCAAAAAGTTCAT